TCCCAGATTCACTGAAATTTCAATCAGTGGTTTGTCCTTCTGAGTCTATGCAGCATCAATACTCATAAAAAGTACAAGAATATTAGTCCTAGCTGGGTTTGGTCAGTGGTGCATCAGCTTGTGGACTGAAAGGTCTTGGGTTCCATTCCTGTCAAGGGCACATACCTGGGTAGTGGGTTCTCTCCCATCCCTGTTTGGGGCACATGCAGGAGGTAATCAATTGATGTGTCTCTCTCACATTAATGTTTCTCTCTCTCTCTCTCTCTCTCTCTCCCCCCACCCCTCTCTCCCTCTCTCTTTCTCTCCCTCTTCCCTGAAAAGCAATAGAAAAAATATCCTCAGGTGAGGATTGACAACAACAATGACAACAAAAACGTTCAAGAACATGAAGAGAAATACAAACAGTGGTATTAGAGGCCTTTGGTCTTTTAGGTCATTAAAATGCAACATCTCATAATTAAGTTAAAGATATGAAAAACCTAAATGATAATAGGTAATAAAATCTAGTTAATATAAACCAAATTCTATATACTAACAGAACAACTTTTCAAAGGCTTATGAAATAGCCACAAACCCTTAAAATTCCCTACAGTAGAAATAATACAGATAATAGTTCTTTTATCATCCTATATAATAAAAGGCTAATATGCAAATAGACCGAATGGCAGAACAACCAAACAATTGGTCACTATGATATGTACTGACCACCAGGGGACACACACGGAACATGGCAGGCGTCAGCCACGTTGGGTTGGTGGAGCAGGTGCTGGGGGGGTGGGGGGGGCGGGCGCCAGACCAAGGCAGGGCAGGGCACTGGTCATTCTCATTGGGATGAGCCTCTGGTGGTTACTAAAAAGTCTTTGTTCCCAAATGCCACAGTCCTGCCCAGCACTACTTGCACCTGCTGCCAGCGCCCAGAGCCAGCCCTGATCGCTCGGCGCTATCAGCAGGTGCAAGCAGTGGCTGCCAGCCCCAATTGTCCCTGAGGGCTTCTCCACCTCGCCCTGCTCCTGAGGGGTGATCAGGGCAGCAGCCGCCGCTCACACCCGCTGCCAGTGCTGGCCCTGCTTGCACCTGCTGCTGGTGCTGGTCCCAATCCTCTGCACAGTCAGTGGGTGTGAGCGGGGATGGAGCCATCAGCGTGTGGGAGTGGCGGTGGCAGGAGCAGGGCTGCTAGCTCCTGCCACCTCCCACAGTTCCTTTGAAAGTGCACAAATCTGTGCACTAGGCCCCTAGTGATGTAATAAAACTAGAAATTAAAAGCCCTGTCTAGGTAGCTCAATTGATTATAGGAAAATAAGTGGAACAAAAAATAATGTTTTTCTCTCTCTCTAAAAATCAATCAATAAAAATTTTTAAATAAATGAAACTAGAAATTAACAAGGAATCACTTAAAATTTTAAAACAAAACCAAATTGCAAAATACCTAAAAAATAACAATAGCCATAGCTAGGTTGTGTTAGTTAATAGAGCACTGACTCATGACTGAAGGGTCCCAGGCTTGATTCTGATCAAGGGCACTTATTTCAGTTGTAGGCTTGATACCTGGCCTTGGTCAGGGCATGTGAGGGAGGCAACCAATCTATGTGTCTCTCTCACATCAACGTTTTTCTTTCTTTGTTTCCTCCCCTCCCCTCCACTCTAAAAATCAATGGGGAAAATATCCTCAGGTTAGAATTAACACAAACAAACAATCAGTCTTGTGGCAAAATCTACCAACTCTCTCCTAATATCAATCTCTTGACTTTGGTATAGAACCCAATTTAAAAAAAAATCTTCACCTGAGGACATGCTGAGAGAGAGAGAGAGAGAGAGAGAGAGAGAGAGAGAGAGAGAGAGAGAGAGAAGAGAGAAACATCAATATGAAAGAACCATTAATCCAGCTGTCTTCCATAGGTGCCTCAATAGGAGATCAAACCCACAAACTGGGTATGTGCCTTGACTGGATATCAAACAGGCAACCATTCAGTGAATAGGACAAGGTTCAAACAACTGAACCATTCCAGCCAGGCCAGAACCCATTTTTGTTTTTTCAGCTGAGCACAAAGCTATATATCTAGCTAAAAACTACATTTTTAGGACTCCTTTGTGCTAGGTGTAGTCATATAAGGAATTCAGTCAGTAGGATGTGTGAAACTGATGAAGGCAATATCTGGTCACATCTCTTGCAAAAAAAATTTGAGTTCCCACTGCCTCTGTTTACCCTTTCCAGGGGCTGAGACCAGAACCCAATGATGAGAACCATCTTTAACGAAACAAATGAGGGATATTTTGTTGGGATGACAGGGCCACAAGAATACAGGAACTTGGTTCTAGACAAGGAAGGAAAGTCCTCTATCTACCTCTAGAATGTGATAGGGGAAAGATACTTTTGTCTTAATTTAAGTCACTTAATTTTGCTGTGCCTTTGTCAAAGTAGTTTAGACTGCACCCTAACTTATACAACTAGTTATAAGAACATTTACAGGATATGGTTAAAGCTATACTCATAAAAAAAATTCACAGAATTAAATATATTAAGCATTCAATTCAGAAAGACAGAAAAAGTACAAAATAAATCTAAGAAAAGTGGAAAAAAATAAGAATAAAAAAAGAAATCAATAAAAAAGTGAAAAAGACAGAACTAATAAATATATAATAGCAGCTTCTTTGGAAGAAAAAAAACGAGCCATGAAACAGATAATTGGTTAGCCAATCTAAGCAAGACAAAAAAAACCCCATAAATATATAAAATATTCATAGCTGCATAAGAAATTGATCTTAAGAGATGACTTTTCGCTCCCCTCCTGCCAGTGGGCCATGGAGTTGGTGTCACAGTAACGTCTGAGGTGTGAGGATTGCGGGGCCAGCGGCCATGGAGGCCGTGCTAAACGAGCTGGTGTCTGTGGACGACCTGCTGAAGTTTGAAAAGAAATTTCAGTCTGAGAAGGCAGCAGGCTCGGCGTCCAAGAGCACACAGTTTGAGTATGCCTGGTGCTTGGTGCGGAGCAAGTACAACGATGGCATCCAGTAAAGGCACTGCACTGCTGGAGGAGCTGTTGCTCAAAGGGAGCAAAGAGGAGCAGCGGGATTATGTCTTCTACCAGGCTGTGGGGAACTACCGGCTCAAGGAATATGAAACGGCCCAACAGTATGTGTGAGGGCTGCTGCAGACAGAACCTCAGAACAACCAGGCCAAAGAACTGGAGCGGCTCATCGACAAGGCCATGAAGAAAGATGGACTGGTGGGCATGGCCATTGTTGGAGGCATGGCCCTGGGTGTGGCAGGACTGGCTGGACTCATCGGATTTGCTGTATCCAAGTCCAAATCCTGAATAAGGCTGCCCCTCTGCCTCTGCCCAGGGAACACGGGAGCCCCTGGAGAACACGCAGAGAGGGGCCCATCCATTCTCGCCATGTCCCTTCCTTCTCCTGCACCCGTCACTGTCCTCTGTGGCCCCAGCCTCTTCTCCCCGAGATCTGTCCTCTAGCCCCAGCCCGTGTGCTTTAGGATGAGTGTAAATAAAATTGGGCTTTGACTTGCGGGGGTGGGGGGGAAGAGAGATGACTTTTCCTCAAATCTATTCAAATAATTTTGAAAACATGAATGAAATGCAGTTTTCTAGGTAAACAATTCTTTCCATGAAACAAAACAAAATACTGACAACTAATGTAGCACAAATACAAAGGAAACACATAAATCAATTTCATTTGGAAATAACTTATGAATATCAATGAAAAAAATCCCAAATAAAATAATTATCAAACACATTAGAACAATTCATTGAAGAAAAATACAACAACCAAATTCAGTTATTTTTGTAGGAATGTAAAGAGTTCAAAAATAGAAAACCTGTTAGTATGATTCATCATAGCATGATAAAAATAAAAAAATCATATAGACCTTGCTCATTAATGTTGAACAGATAATTGGCAAAATTTAACACCCATTTGTGACATAAGTGCCCTTTGAAACAGGAATAAAATGACAAATCCCGAATATGATAAATTTTAAATTAAAAATTTTTCTGAATTGGTAATTTCTGCAATGCAGAAAAGCTAGATGACCAACTAGGGGCAATATTTGTAGTTTTATCACAGGTTAACAAAGGGCTCATTTCCCTAACATTAAAAAGCTTCTAGAAATGAGTCAGAAAAGCCATGTTTAATGGAAAACCACAGACAGCATCCTTCTTAGAGCCAGTATAAGACAAGGCTGCCTGCTTTTGTTTTCTAACTTTGTTCTGGAGATACTTTCCAATTTTTTGTTTTGTTTTGTTAATCTTCACATGAAGATATTTTTTCCATTGCTTTTCAGAGGTGGGAGAAGGGATAAGGAGATATATATATATATATATATATCCCAACCAACGGAGACACACTGACCAAGGCTCAGTATAGCTTTAATTTGCATTTCACTGAGTAGGGTTGAACATCTTTTCAAATTTGAAAGGATCATTTATATTTCCTTTTCTGAGAACTTCCTGTTGATATGGTTTGCCTAGGCAGGGCGGAAGCCCTGAACAAACTGGCACTGCAACTCAAACGTTTCTCTGAGATCATCTCTAACTCCACCCCTGGACACAGGTCTCCCACTCCATATCTAACTGCCAAGATATCCAGACCCACTTTATTTCTCATGGTCTCCACAGATTACTCTTTTCAGGGATAATGCTATTACTCACCTCTGTATACCTGCACCTAGTCTCTTGCATAATCATTTAGCTCCCCTCTTTCTCTTATATTTTCAACATTCTTCTCTACCTTTAAACATGATTAAATCTTCCCAATCTAACCAGGAACCCATGCAAAGCAGGACATCCTCCAGAATCTTTCTGCTTTCCTCTTAATCCTGTATTAATCAGACACTACTGAGCATTCCCTATATATAGATTTCATTACTTTGGGCAATTTTACTTATTTCAAGAAATTTTATGGCTAGAAAACACACAAAAAAAATGATAAAGGGTGAATAAACTAAAATAGCAAAAGAAAAAACAAATAGAAACCATCTCTAGTACCTGAAGGAGGGAAAGTTTCTGGAGTGGTTGCTGCCGTGCTGGAATTTCCTTCCCAAGATTCTGTTCTGACATCTGTGAACAGGTTATCTGGAAGCCATGTTCCATTTGGTGAAATTGTAGTAACTACAAAATTGGTGCTTGCTATTCTTGTGGTCCCATTCTCAGAATCTGAAGTATTGACAGTGGTTACATAGGTAGGTCCCAGAGTTAGATTTGGGCTGAAAGTTGGTGTCACAGGAAAAGTTAGTGAAGAAGTAGGTTTTGAAGTTTTGATCTCTTCTTTTACTGACCCTGCTACCGATGCTTCATTATTAGTTCTTGTAGGTGAAGCTATAAACATCAAGAAAATAAGGAAACATCACATGAAGAATGTGATAACTTAAAAGCTAATAGCACAAAGTATCAAGTTCTCAAACACCTGGACACCAATCAAAGAGTGAATAAAATAAACAAGAGTGTGGGCATGCGCGTGTGCACACACATATATACATACATAGACGCACTTTATCAAGTGCTGGACTCTTTCTACCAACCTCTACTAGTTCAATGAAGGAAGAAACTGAATTATTTACTTAGTTCCTCAGAATTAATATATAGGGTCTTAAATAACTTCTTTTTTGGTACTTTTCAGGAATGAATACATTACCTTTTTATTTTCTTAAACAAATATGTATATGGTATATGTCATAGCATATAATATGGTATATACCACAATGATGAGTATTCACTTGGACTCAGAGATGTCCAAAGACACTTACTTTACCATTACTTTTAAGAAAAACTAAAATTTTTTAGAACAAAATTCTACTCTGAATACAGCCTTATTAAATGACAATTTACCTGTGGTTGCATTGTTGGCACTGACATGTATCAGACTACTGACAAGCAGAGTAAGGATGACCAAGGAATCCATGCTGACCTGGAAAATAAGAGAGCCATGTTAGATAAAATTCTATATTATTGTAACTATGTTCAAATACTCACCAAAGGAGTATTTTGGGTAAAATCTTCCCAGCTATTAAAATGTGCACCCAGGACCAATGATTTATTAGGAATCTGATATGTACATTTTTCCAGGAATCCAACTACTAAATTGAATCTTCATACACATATAAATAAGACTTAATAAGAACAAACTTTTTTAAGCAGTGATTTCAACTTTAGTTGCATTTTAGAATTATCCCAAAGAACTTTTAAAAAATCTCCATGTTAGACCGCATCTCTGGAGATGAGAGATAGGTAGCTGTCCTTTTAAAAGATGATTTCTATGTGCAGTTTTAGCATCTTCAGAATAAGAAATATGAAAATGGTAGGTTGACTGCATAGTACCCTTCGAAGCAGATATTATACAGCTGTCCTTAACCTTAATTCCACCTCAAACCATATCAAAGGGCTGTGGCACATTTCTTACAACTAATAGTGGCTCATTCATCTATTCAGATTTCTGTGCCCTACACTGAGGGAAACAACTACAGAGCAATACAATCATAGGTACTATCTTTATGGACCTCACAGCCTAGAAAGTAATTCAATATGGTAGTGCCTTTCTTGAGGAAGGGAAGAGACATGCAGATGGTTATAATATATCCCAGGAGTTGCCTCTGGTACCAGCAACCATACCTAACAGGGAAATGGGGCCAGCAAGTGGCCTTTCCAAGGTGCAGTCATACAAGATTTGACTATATTCCCATTCTTCCTATCTGACCATAATCCAAAACTGGGAAAATATACAATTCCCTTCATAGGATTAGGAAACAGATCAGAAGGCTGATTATAGTATATTTATATGTGTATTCTTGATAAATCAATATGAAATGATTTTTTTTTTGAAAATATGTATTTTGGGAGAGGGGGTTAGACCATTGCCTCATTTCATAGATCAAAATAAAATTCAGCCGGGACCGGTTTGGCTCAATGGATAGAGTGTCGGCTTGGGGACTGAAGGGCCCCGGGTTCGATTCCGGTCAAGGGCATGTACCTTGGTTGCGGGCATATCCCCAGTGGGGGGTGTGCAGGAGGCAGCTGATTGATGACTCTCTCATTGATGTTTCTGACTCTCTCCCTTCCTCTCTGTACAAAAATCAATAAAATATATTTAAAAAATTATTTAAAAAAAATAAAATTCAACTGAAGAATTAAATGTTTGAATGTACATTTTAAAAGGGAATAAATATTTATATGAGCTCAGTATGAGGAAGAAAAACATAATGGTAACATAAGAAAACACAAAGGTTAAAAATGGAATACCTAACAATAGAAAAAAAAAAAACACCCAGATGATTCTAAATATAAAATAAATTTAAAATAATGTTCATTAAAAGGAAGACTTAATAATGTCATTCTTTCAATTTTGGTCTATAGATTCAATACAATCTCAATCTCCTAGCAAGTTATTTTATAGATACTGATCAGCTTACTCTAAAGTTTATAATAGAGAAAGGCAAAAAACTGAGAATAGTCGAATCAGTACTGAAGAACAAAGCTAGAGAACTAACACTATCATACTTACTATAACGCAATAGTAATCAAAACAGTGTGGTCTGGTGAAAGAACAGACAAATAGGAGAGTGGAACAGAAAAGAGAGCCAAGACACAGACCAACTTAAATATAGTCAATTGATCTTTGACAAAGGAGCAAAAGCAATACAATGGAGCAATAAACTGTACTAGAACAAATGGTCATACAATGTCAAAGAATAACAAATCTAGACACAGACCTTACACTCTTCACAAAAATTAATTTAAAATGGGTCATAGACCTAAATATAAACGTAAAACTACAAAACCTAGAAGATAACATAGGAGAAAATCTACACAACCTTGGGTATGGTGATGACTTTGTAAATACCACACACCAAGGGCATAATCCATGAAAGAAATAATCAGCTAGACTTCATTAAAATTTAAAACTTCTGCTCTGCAAAAGGCAATGTCAAGAGAATGAGAAGCCATAGATAAGTAGAAAATATTTGCAAAAGACACTTCTCCTAAAGGATTGTTACCCAAAATATACAAAAAACACTTAAAACTCAATAAGAAAACTATTAACGCAATTTAAAAAATGGTCAAGCCCTGGTCAGTGTGGCTCAGTTGGTTGAGCATGATTCCATATACCTAAAGGCTGCTGATTCGATTCCCAGTCAAGGCACATGCCTAGGTTGCAGGCTCAGTCCCCAGTGGAGGGCGTGTGAAGGCAGCCAATCAATGTTTTTCTCTTTCTCGAGGATGATTGTTTCTCTCTCTCCCTTTCCCATCCTCTCTCTCTTTGTAAAATCAATAAAAACATATATATATATATATATATAGATAGATAGATAGATAGATAGATAGATATAGATATAGATAGATATAGATAGATATAGATATAGATATAGATATAGATATAGATATAGATATATAGATATATAGTCAAAAGGCCTGAATAGAAACCTCATCAAGGAAGATTTAGATGGCAAGTAAGCATATGAAATCATGTACAGCAACATATGTCATTAGGAAATTACAAATTAAAACATGAGATACCACTCACCACATACCTATCAGAATGGCCAAGATCCAAAACACCAACACCAAATCCTGGTGAGGATGTGGAGCTACAGGAACTCTCATTCATTGCTAGTGAAAATGCAAAGTGGTACACACACTTTGGAAGACAGTTTGGTGGTTTCTTATAAAAACGCTTACCATAAGGAGAATCCTTAAAAGCATATATTACCAAGTGAAAGAAACCAATCTGAAAAAGCTACATACTGTAAAATACTCTTGAGAAGGCAAAACTATGGGGACACTAAGATTAGTGGGTGTAGAGTTAGGAAAGAGGAAGAGAATGAATAAATGGCATACAGGACTTTAAGGGCAGCCAAACTATTCTATATGATGATATAATTGGGGATTCATATTATTATACAGTTGACCAAACCCATAGAATTTACAACACTAAAACTGAACCTTAATGTAAACTATGGATTTTGGTTGATAACGATGGGTCAAAATGTAGGTTCAACAAGGATCACTGTGGCAGATGTCAATAGTGGGGGAGGTTGTGCATGTTTAGGGAAGGGAGTATTTGGGAGCTCTATAATTTTTGCTCCATTTTGCTGTGAACCTAAAACTAACCTAAAAATAGTCTTTTTTTTTTTTTTTTAAAGAAATAAAGTGGGGGAAATTGTCACAAATAAGAGAAAGATTAAAATAAGATATATCAATATGAAAAACATTAAAAACCCAACTTTGAAAAACCTGGAAAACCTAAACAGATAATTTACAGAAGAGAAAAAAAAACTAAGGAAATACATGAAAAGTGCTTACCATTCCCACTAATCAAATAAAGATAACATTTTTATTTTCCAAATCAGAAAAGATCAATCATTTAAAATATTCAATGCTGGTGTAGGGATTCACAAGAAGCCTCCCCATAATGTGCCTTTGGCATGTGAATTATTTTGAACTGAAGGCAATCAAGACCCTTCAAGCACACCAGAATTTAAATTAGGGGCCTTGCCCATAATAAGAGTTATCACCAGAAAAAATAACAAAAAACGTTTTGACCCATCTATATGGCAAGGCAAACTACTAATTACTGAACATCTACTCTCCTTATCATTTTGCAATGATATTTCTCCTCTCTGAAATCTCAAGGTACCTTACCTCATCCTTAGCTTAAGATATCATATATCTAATTTTCTCTTTCTGTCTTTGAACCTCTCATGTGGGATCTCTGACTCTCTCATGTACTAGTATGTGAATTTCCCATGCATACACATGTAATTAAATTTGGTTATTTTCTCTTATTAATCTGTATCAGATAAATTTAGTTATGAGACCAGTGGAAAGAACCTGGGTTAGAGTAAAGTTTCTTTTTCCCTTAAACTTGCAAGAGTCACAAAAAAGAACACAAACATTGGTGGGAATGCAAACTAACAAATTTCTTACCAGAAAAATTATACAAGAATATTAAAAATTGTTTTCTGACCCATTTTCAAGGGTTATTCTGAAGTGAATATAAATAAACTATAATTCACACTAACATGATTTAGAGTCCAGCCAGCATGGCTCAGTGGTTGAGCATTGACCTATGAACCAAGAGGTTGCAGGCTTGATTCCCAGTGTGGGGCATGCAGGAGGCAGCCAATGAATGATTTTCTCTCATCATTGATGTTTCTATCTCTCTCTCTCCTTCTTCTCTCTTTCTCTCTGCAAATAATACATATATATATACACATACATATACATACACACACACACACACACACACACACACACACACACACACAAAATGATATAGAGATAGTCATTAAGTGGAAAAGAAGAAACAATCCAAATACCCCACTAGGGAAAACAAGAAAAAGATGAAATAAATATTATGCTGCTATTCAAGATAATACATTATTATGACTCAAAATGCTGCATTCCAAGAGTTTAAGAAAGTGGAACAAATCATTTGTTTTTCTTAAATCCTCACCCAAGGATAAGTTTTTATTAGTTTTTTCAGGAGAGAGAGAAAAAGAAGAAAGCATTGACTGGTTTCCTCTGGTACAACTCCGACCAGAATTCCAACACCCAACCTAGGCATGTGCCCTGAACAGGAATCAAACCAGCAACCTTCTGGTATATGGGACAATGATCCAACCAACTGGACCAACCGGCCAAGGCGAGCCCTTCATTTTTTAAGCTTAAAAAAAAGGGGGGGGGGTGGGCGGAGAGGGCAGCCCTGGCCAGTGTGGTTCAGTGGTTGGAGCACCAGCCTATGAACTGAAGGGTCTCAGGTTCTGGTCAAGGGCACATACCTGGGTTGCAGGTTCAATCCCAGCCCCAGTCAGGGCATATGCAGGAGGCAATCAATCAGTGTCTCTCTCAATGATGTTTTTCTCTCTCTCTCCCTTCCTTCCTCCCTCTCTTCTTCCCTCCCACTTTCTATAA